TGGAGGTGCTGGTACCACTGCTATGGGACTGGACTGTGCCCTGCCTACTACTGTAGTGGCTTTTTTTGGAGACCAACCTCTGTGGGGTGAGTAGTGTGGGAGAATGTGTATACGTTGGTGACAATATGAAATTTGTGAGGAAAAGCATTGATTTTTGTACGTGAACGTGTATAACTAGTAAGAAAACTTCTGAGCTCAGCTGAGGAAAGCGAATATATATTCCAAGTCGTACATGTAGTAGTGAATGACACATGTTCAACTACAGTATAGGACTGAAAAAAGCATCTTCTCAGCGTTTGCTGGGTTGAGGACAGTTTACGTGTTTCTGGAAGGAAATTATGATAACCTTGATTATGAATTATTGGAGTTTCACCCGTGATATGGAAAACACTAGTGAAAAACATATTTTATATATCACTTCGCGAAAAAAACTAGTTACGGGCCAATACTGCCTTCTTTTCTCTAGGGTATTACAGCGTTTCGCGTAAAACGGGTGAACTCCCATTATATGAAAATATGCACATGTGTTGGTGACAATATGAAAATTGTGAGAAAATTTCGTGAAGTTGTTATTGGGTTTTGTATGTAAATGTGTATAACTAGTGAGGAAACTCCTACTGAGCAATTCATTTAAATTGGATTCGCATTTAGGTGGACTGGTGGACGTGCGTGGTGCCGGCAAGATGGTATTGGCCCGCCGTGTCACCAATGATAACGTCCTCACTGCGATGCGGTATTGTCTATCGACCGAGGCGAAAACGGCAGCTGAGGAGTTGAAGGAGGGACTGGCGGTAGGGATGGAAAGGGTGTTTATGGTGGCAGCTAATTTGGTGTTGGGTTTTGGGTATCTGTGTAGCATACATCGGCTCAGCCGAATCGGCTCGCATAGGATGTGGTAACTTTGATGGCTCTTCAGGAGAAAAAATAAACTGCATTACGGTCGATTTTTTTAGAGTTTTGTTCGGAAGTATTGAAGTAGAATCGTGGCGGAGTGGATGAGATTTCTGAGTTATATGTACATACGTTAAAATGGAAAAAACTAAGTATAGTAGAAGTAAAATAGAAAATAATCAAATAAAAAACGTGAGTAAAATAAAAAATATGAGTTTAATAAAAAATATGAGTTTAGTAGAAAATAAGAGTAAAATGAAAAAATATGAGTTTAATAAAAAATATGAGTTTAGTAAAAAATAAGAGTAAAATGAAAAAATATTGGTTTAATAAAAAAATATGAGTAAAATTGAAAAATATGGGTTTAATAAAGAAATATGAGTAAAATTGAAAAACATGATTAAAATTAAATGAGGCAATTTAAGAGGATGAATTTGTATTAGAGTTCCTTTTTTCCACTAACTGCTAGTTTTAGAGAAGTTGGTAGAGTTTCACATTGATGAGGTTATCATTCTTCAGGAGGAGCGGAAGGCGGGTCAAGGAGCTCGGGCGGGCGCTGAAGCATTTGAGCATCAATTGCCGTTAGAGTTGGTCACCTGTGAGGTCTGTGCGATGAGGGGTCGGCATGATGATGAGGGCAGAGATGTGAGGCCAAGGGCTGCGGAGTTGAGGGAGGTTAATAGAGATCTACGCATATGTAAGCTGGAGATCTCTGGTTCGAATCCTGGTGACGTCATTTTTACGGACATTTTGTGGAGGGTGGGTGTGGCATGAAGAAGCATTGGTAGAGCTGTAGGGGGTTTAGGACGTGCGCTTTCTGTAGTAGTACGCAACCGCACAAAGCGGGACTTCAGTTTGATCACTTCGAGGTAGTTATAGTTCATTTGTCACTAACTGTAGCCATCTTGGCTCAAGCTTCTTGTTTTCTCTACTGTGTCGCGGGTGTCGGCGTGGGTTCGATCCCGGCAAGTGTACTTTTTCTCGACCAGTGTGGGAAAATATTATGCGCATGATCGTTTACGTGTTGGTAAAAATATGGAAATTTTGAGAAATTTTATGGGAAATTATCGTTGGTTTGTGTATACTTTTATCCGAAATCGTGTGTGGATTTTCATAATGGAATGAGGAAACTGATGAGCTCAGCTGAGGAAACCAAATATATATTCCGATGCTGTTCTTGACAGGTCCGGTGTGCGCCCTGCTGATGCAAAGCGCTGGGGAGAATCTCTGCCTTGAACCGCTTCGAACAGCTGATTGGGCTCGGACGAGAGGAGGAATCTTATATGTTCACTTCGTAAGATACGGATTATGTACGATTGTGTGACTTGTGTTGTGATGTAGATACGATGGTTGAAGTCGTTTGTGAAGTTATTCCGTCGTATGGTCCAGGGTGGACAAGAGGTGGTTTGTATGGATTCTTGATTGGTGAGTTGGGGAGTTTGCGAGTGAGTA